ATTGAGGGATGGGTTACTCATTCCCATATATCGCAGTTCTCCACTGATTATCACTTGGAAAACGCTAAAAACCCATTTACATACAGCAGCCTTAATGATGGGACAAATAATCCATGAAAGTACATACAGGCGTGACACCCCGGGTGTATATATGCGGTCTACTCAGAAATCAAGGCAGCAGAACTTCTGCTTTAGTCAGATATATCGTACCGGGCAGAGACTTCAGATACTGAGAAAAACTCTCTTATATACGGGGATTAAAATAGCCACAAAAAGTTCTTTAAGCGGTTACCTTTGAACAGATAACCATACAGATATATGTAGGCAATCAGGAAATAAATTCAATGAAGGTCCGATGAGTGATTCGTACTAACATTTATCGTAAGACATCTTGCTTAGAACCTCATCAAAAAGAACGAAAAAGGTACACAGTAGATACAGAAATGTTGCCGAACTGGACAAGAGAATATGAATAAGAGGAGGATGAAGGTAACGGAATAGAGGTTGTGTGGAACAGGGAGAAAAAATGATGATGGTAAGTTAAAAAATAGAGAAAGCCAAGGGGACGTTTAATGATTGGTAGAAAGAAAAACGATTAAAATGGTGGAAAAGGAAAGAGGAGTAGTAGTAGTAGCAATAGTAATGAAGTGAAATAAAGAAAGAATATCAAAAAAAAAAGAAGGAAAAAATTATATATCGCGAGAAAAGAAGAAAGAAGTAAATAAATAAAATCTAACCTAATTAATTATTAATAAAAGACACAATTAATTACGTATATTGATAATAAAATAATTATATATGACCGGTACTTAAAATTCTCGGTCTGAACAGCTTGTCCTTTAAATGACCAGATATTAGAATACTAATTTTCGTGGATGCATTGGGCCAAGAATATTTCAGCATACTTCTTACAACTGGACAAAATACCACTATTATTCCACCTGAATGTAAATATAAACCTCTTAAACATGTCATCAAATTGAATGGATACAAAAGTTCAGTTCACACAAATGCAGATTTTCTTTAATATATTTATATAAGTTCGCTGGATTAGAAGCAAAAAATAAGACCCATTAAAAATGGGATCACAAAGACAAGGGATAAAAATGTTACCAAGATTTAATGGAATTCTTATCACTTGATTCGTAGCTTTGTCAACCTTTCCAGCTTGAAGATTTATTTATATATATATATATATATATATATATATATATATATATATATATATATATATTATTACCGTCATTTAAACTTTTTTTTTTCTAAAAAGTACTTGTTCGTTTGAAACTGTTTTTATATACCGTTCTTTTTAGAACACTAATCAAATGTCTTTGAGTTTAGAGTTGTACCTCAGTTTTCAGGATGTATTCGAGTATTTTCAGTTTTTGACATATTCAGGAGAAATAAATATCTTTGATGTCTGTCATATCATTGAAATACCTCTTCGAATAGGTATTTTAAAGATATGACTGTATGTATTCTTTATTCAAAACAACCAATATCTTGTGCAAATCTTTAAATACAATTTATTTTTTACTGGCATAGACTTTAATTTGAGCTTGTAAGATTTGTTTACGCAAGTTGTTGGCCAAATTCCAATTGAATCAATGTTTATTTTAGGTCCTGTCTGATCTTGTATTATACGACTTGATGTATTCATTTACGATGAGATGTACAGTTTTCCTTACTTTTCCAATTTAGTATCTGCTGTTTTCTGTGTTTTGGCAATCACAATTTTATGGAGATGGAAATTTTTAAAGCATTTTTTTTTTAATATATAATTGCAAACCAAAGAAAAAAAATAATCCCAAGGCTTCGATATGAACAATGCAAGCGTTGTTCGTCAAAACATTAATTTTGTTAAAAGCAGAAATATATTGCACCTAGTGAAAATGGAACGCACCAGACATGGTCAAATAGGTTAGCTCTATAAACGTTATCACCCACTGAAAGGCTTATTTTCTTTACTTAGCTGGTATTCATTTACAAGTAAAACAAACCCTACAGTATTGTTTAAATCTGATAACCCGAACTTAATGGAGGATTTTTGAATATTGTGGACGTAGAATTTTGCCTGTAATGGATTGACATATTTTTAAGTTTTAATATTAGACCCACAAATACACGACGTCAGTACGGTTATGATATAAGTACAGCGAAGATGGTTTGCCGCTCCCAGATTCCCTTATTGAAAAAGCCACTATGTGGTAATGAGTAATTGGCTTTTCGGTTGATATCCATTTAATAATGCTGCGCTGGATACAGCATAAACACAAAATGAGACAAGAATCCTCTCAGCACTACTTGAATAACGGAGAAATATATTCCAACTGGCTCTGTCAACAGAAAATTCCAAATTGATTAGAATGTTTTTAGTTATTTAACAATTTTTGATTTGTATTTATTTCCTCCATAATTATACCTACATTTTTCCAACTATTCAGACCGCTCGTGGGCAACCGTCAATAATCGGAGGAGGCCAGGAATAAGTAATTATGAATGTTCCTATTAATATGACAGTAGAAACGGAGATTTTAAAAGTATATATTTTCATAATATATTGAACTATATTAAACAAGGGGAAGAAATATTAAATTACTCACCGAAAAGTACTGAAACGAAAGATATAACAAAAAGGAAAGAAAAAAGCTAACCGGTTATTCTTCCACGACTCTTCAGAGCTCAATCGAGGAAAAATATATAAATATTTACCCAACGAGTAAAAAAGAACGGGAAATTACTATCGATGAATCAGTAATATAAATCCCAAACATATTTCTTTGTTAACCGAGGGAAGGTTGCTTAGACTTAACATTTATAGTTTCAAGGTAAATAGCATGTGCTATGCGGAGTCTTATGAAAACATTCTAGTTAAAGACCAGGCACATGTTTCAATTATCGTAATTCTCCATGTATACTACGACTTCATCCTTAATACGCACCTGTAAGATTGTGCTGAATGTGTACGAAAATTATTTTATTCACGCATAATATGCACTCCTTGTTTGGTAATAAAACCCGATAAATTGTACCACTCCCATTTATTAAGGCCAGTGTTTCCTATTATTAAAAATGATTTTGAACATAGAATAATATTATTCTAATTTAATTTTATGATAATTCTTATTTTATTTTACTACTGTAAGTATTTTTAAGTACATATTATTGTCTTTGACATCCTTATTGGCTCGTAGTCTCAAATTGTCGTATGTTTGTGGTGAATAATCATTTCGCAACTGAAATCGACCGATGAAACGAGTATATTTAAAGATTTTTTTTGTAGGTATGCATAATAAACAACCCTAATTTTACTTATTTATTTTTAGAAAAAAATGCGTATTATACATGGGGAATTACGGTTTATGAATGTCATTTGTATAGTATTGAAACAATTACATCACCTTCAAATACTTATTCCCGTACGATCACGGAAGCAAATAAACAAGGGAAAGAAAAGGCAAAATAGAAAAAGAAGGAGGAATGTTTAATGGTATTGGTAGCATTAACCCTTTCCCTACAAGGAAACATTTGGTATTCATTGACCGAACAGCCAGTACTGCTTTCAGCTGCAATTTATAAGATCTTCATCTTAAACAGTTTTATAGGAAATTTTTTTATCGCTTTTTTCCTGGTAGTGATGTGAGTTTCTTTCCCAACGTTTCATTTGATGTAGTGTGAAATATCAACGGCTTGATTGTTTTATTGTTTTCTCTTCTATTTACATCTTCTATCATTTTTAGTTTTAGCTGTCGTTCGTAATCCTCCAATGATGTGTTTTTTGGGGGTTTTTTTTTTGTTATTTGGAACTGTTTGTAAACATGTAGAGCCAACCCACAATATTCAAAGAAGCTTGACCTTTGCCAAGACCCTCAAGCTTTACTCGCTCAATGCCTTTTTTGAATATTGATCTTAGGAAGCGGTTTTATACATCTGATAGTTTAGCTATTTCTAATCAAATATGGCGCCATACATGACGTCCATATGAAAGTCTTGATCTGAAGAGACTATCAAAGAGCATGACTCCAGATTTCAGCTTCATATTTTGCTTTCCTTGCAATTTCCTCTATTTGGTGATGCTATCTCTGGCACAGCCTATTCCTCTTATTGTTTTTTTTTTTCTCTTACGCTAAAGTTGTTATATTTGATCAATACAACGAGGTAATCACCGTTCTGGGTATGACGATAAACTACATCCAACAGCAAGGGATCAGGAGGTTTTAGGGAGCGAGGAATCACCTCTTAATAGCTGGTGTTCCTAGGCCCACCCCGACCCGGGGTAGTAGCACCTGTTAGGGTCTCTGCCATGGGCAAATAGTTAACCTCAAACTGGCAATACATTTTGGAAAAAAAATATTAGCAGAAAAACTTTTTGAAAAAAATATTACCAGCGATAAAAATTGTCTAAATTAAATAACCCATTTAGGTTGATATACCGTAAAACAAACCAAACCAAACCGAGATATTTTAAGAGTTTAGTTTTTCGTAGCTTCTCGTCCTGATATTTTATACTGGCTTTAGGGTATGTTCTACACAGATATCATACCAGTTCAAGATTATAATTTCTGTTTTGGAAAGTTCCATTTCATGGAACACTTGATAGAATGATATTGTACAGTGAATCAGCATATTCTATCTCAACTACGAATACATATCGATACGAAATCCCTCATCATCATCATTATTACATTGTGCCCGAGAGGGAAAAGAGGAACATCTTTTTTTTTCTCGTTTGGAGTATGGAATGCTTAAATGATCAGTGCCCATCTCTTTATATCTTTGCTTGTATATGCGCAGAGTATAAATGATCAACGTAAGTAAAACAGAAAGGGTGACAACGGAATAAAATGGAATGAGGAAGAGATGTCACATAAAATAAGTACCGAAAAAGCAAACAAAAATGCTGAAAGAATGAGGAAAATGCAACAAAATGGAATGATGAAGGATTAAGAACAGACGAATAAAAACAGAAAAACAAAAAAAAATGCGATAAAAAGGAATAATTAAAGGATAGCGAAAAAAAAACCCTGAAAATTTAATAAAAAGGAATAATTACGGAATGATGAAGAAAAACAGAAAAACAGAAAAACCAAAAATGCAATAAAGATAACCATTAAGGAATGACGAACAAAAACGAAAAAACGAAAATAAAAACTAATAATGATCAAAAAAGAAAATGGATAATAAAGCGGAATGATGAAGGATGGAAGAATACATGTGAAATAATAATAATAATAATAATTATAAAATGGGATGATGAATGAAGAAAGTATACATATGAAAGAAAAATAATAATAAAATGGAATGATGATTGAAGGACGAATACTTATGAAAGAAAAAAGAATAATAAAATGAAATGATGAAGAAAGGACGAATACATATGAAAGAAAAAGTATAATAAAATGGAATGACGAAGATGGACGAATACTTATGAAAGAAAAAAGAATAATAAAATGAAATGATGAAGAAAGGACGAATACATATGAAAGAAAAAGTATAATAAAATGGAATGATGAAGGAAGGACGAATACATATGAAAGAAAAAGTATAATAAAATAGAATGGTGAAGGAACAACAATTGCATATGAAAAAAAAGAATTGAAATAAAACAAATGTTGATGGAAGATAGAAGAAACTAAAAAGAAAGAAATGAAGATTTGAATAGGTTTTTATGACTTTTTTCTGTTTTGTTTTTTATCAGGTCCATAATCAGCTATCATTCAATAAAGTTGGAAACACCTATTTTTTAATCCTAAACTAACAGCCGCACGCGACGTGATTTCCTCGACAGAGTTTAAGAGATAACACTTAGGATATAAAATGAATGAAGACAAAGAGATGACTACTCAGCTTGTATTTGTAACAAAGAAAAATATGGATTATTGGTAGGCAGGTGTAATGTCTACTACCATGCGACAGACACCCACGTTTTATGCCATTATAATAAAATAGGATATATTATTCGAGGAGCTGCCCTCGCAAATATATATAAACAAACCCTGTTTTGTTCGATTCAGCCGACAAGGTCTGTTTAATTTTTTATTGCGTTTTTCAAACAATGACTCAACTTTCAAGAAGCTATTATTTTAAAAGAGAAAAGTTCCACACAATATAAATAAAATATTTTTCAATAGGAGACGGTATCTTGGAGTGGGTATAAATTATTTAATACGCAGGCAAAAAAGAGAATTATTATTAATAATAATATTTTTTAAGTGGGTGAAGAAATACAAGTAAAACTTGCAGTTGAAAAAAAAACTTAAAAAAGAAAGCAAAGACAATTGCAATCGACTAGATACTGAAACGATGCCAAGATAAAACGCTTCACGGCTTTGCCCGAACCAAATATGCTGATGTAAACCCCGTACCCAATCGGTAGGTACGCATAGCAGGGTTAAAAGCTTCACAGGACCAATACTTGATAACTAAAAATTATCTACCAAATACACCAAAAAATCATGTTAGCACAAAATCTGTAAATATCTAGAAAGAATTGACAAGCTTTTTTCAGGTAGGACGGTATTTACACCGACTGAATATAAAAGCCGCCATGACAGAGTGGGCCAACATCCGGATTGAAAAATATGCAACGTTTACAGAAATGAAACTGACAGTGTTACTGAGATAGGACCTGTGACAATTTTATGGGACTTTACAATACACACAGACAGAACAATCAAATATAATTACCTAAAAATCCTGATCTAATACCACGATAATACAATGTGCTTTCTTATTGACATGACAGCCCTTGAAGTTTCTAATGTATATTTGAAGATATCCAGAAAGATATTAAAATACGAAGATCTTGAAGTGGAAAAGAAAATGTGGCACATCAGAACATCAACAATTCCAGTTGTAGATGGATCCCTCGGATTGAGTGGAATACATGTCAATAAAAAAATTAAAATAATTCCTGGTATCCTATGTCTTAAATAAATATAAAAGACTATACTCACAAGTACAGATCACAAATTACCAAAAACTTTATCTATGCAAAATGTGTGTGATCTTAGATTTTTTTTGTATGGGATGGGAGTTACAAAAAATTAAGGAGTGGAAAATATTATGAAACCATTTCTGACCTTAGGACTCTTGTTTAAACGCGAAATTAATACGTATACCACATATATCCAAGGAAATATATATATATATATATATATATATATATATATATATGACGTCATACATTATGAAATGGACTAAGTCCGACAATTATTTTAAGACATTTTTATGTTTATACATTTTTTATCGATACAAATATTTTCTGTTTATAATAAACAGTTTAATACTGTTTATTATAAACAGAGCATTTACTTCAATAATTGTATCTATAAAAAATGTATAAACATAAAAATATCTTTATATATATATATATATATATATATATATATATATATTATATATATATTATATTTAGGAATCTTACTTTTTAGGGTTCCGTATTATGAGGAGAGTAAGAAGTAACCGCAAACGCAAAAATCTATGTTTTTCTTTTTTTTAGTGAATTACTTAGTGATCCTTCCACTAACTCGTAGCACTAATTCGTACCCTATAAATTATTTTCATTATTATCACTCAAGTCAAAAGTTTTAGCCTCTGGCCGATTCCATATATCCCTAATAGCATTAACCAGTGAACTTAAAAAAAACGTAATATGGCTATAAGATAACTCAAAAGAAAATAAGCTATTTCACATGGATGACTATGTTGTATGCTACGAATGAGAGTGAGCTAAAAGTTCTTTTGAAAATGTTTCAGTGATGTCATTGGAATGGAATTCGGTTTAGATAAATGTGCTAAATCTAAACATTTACGAGAATTACTACAACTGTATGGGAGGGAAGAATTCACTGTAAAAACGAAAAAATAGTGCGAAAAGAGAACTATAGAAGGGTGTGACTGATATTAAACTGAATTGAAATCTCATAAAAGTATCATGGCCATTAATAGCCTTGCTATCCCAATTGTTCAATAGAGTTACAACACCTTGAATGGGATAAAAATGTTATCAGACGACAGGATTCTAAGACAAGAAAGCTTATTTCTAAGCATAACATATATCATCGAAAGAATGTTGTAGATCTTCCATACATACCCCGTAAAGAAGGTCGAAGAGTACTCATTCAGGTCTAATTGTCATACAAGTCAACAACTATTGGCTTACTAACATACATGGAAACAAAAAAGGACTGGATGATACAATTAGTTAAACAGCACGAAAGCTGAAAGAAAAAAGATATTAAATTCTGTAAATACAAACGAGATGTACATTTAATAGATTCTGGAGAAAACCAAAGCAAATCGCAAGAACCAACTACTGTGGCAAAAATTTAATAAAAAGAAACGTAAGGATAAAAACTCTTAAATGGATGAAACAACTGCGATAAGACTCTGCATGGCTAATGTCCACAACTTCTTAATAAAACCGATTTTACGGTGTCGGTAAAGTTAACACTCATCGATGATTACGTGCATCTGAAGTAAAGCCTGAAACAGAAGCCCCTATTCTTGCAGCGCAAGACCAGTCTTTTTCACTAGAAAATTTGAGGCAAATATCATACGTAATGGTGTGGAACGAAATAGAAGTTCTGTGACAAATATCAGGAAACCATAGACCATCTAATCTATGTACTTGCTTCAAATGAATATAAAAATCGTCACGAATAAGTAGGGCAATACTTACACTGGATAAGGATGCTAATAAACACTGGTATGAACATCACCCAGCACCGGTTATAGAAATAGAAGACATCACAATTCTATGGGATTAAATCATCTTTCAAAACCGGAAGGTTGAAGGAAATAGCTAGACATAATTGTCAAAAACAGAAAAGAAAAATATTTCATACTAATTTATATGGCTTGCCCAGCGGACATAGCAACCAAGGAATTAAAAAAAGTATCGAATTATAAAGACCTGGAAATCGAAATTAAAAAAAAGCGGAAGTTTAAAACAAGAATAGTATTAATCATCGTAGGAGCTCTTGGAATGATAAAAACGGTATACAACGCATTTATAAAATCCATGGAAATAATAATAATAATAATAATAATTGGTACAAATATTTAATACGTTTTTATCCCGTGCGGTCGAGTTCGATCTAACCATTACATATGACGCTACATTAAACTAATTCACATCCTGGCGCACATAAACATACCAGGATATAGCCAACATAATCTTGTCTATCATTCTGTCTAGTGTCCAGTTCTTCATAATATCTTAGAGACTGGAAAAGACATGAACGAAAAAAAGATTAAAACCCGAATTTTTGAACGTGTATCCATATTTTTTTCCTTCTGTACATTTTTATCAATGTGGAAAAATACAATAAATATTAAAACAAAACGATTTTGTCGGTCGAATTCAAGACTCGTTGGGTAAATTCCGCTACTTAATTATCCAATATATATATATATATATATATATATATATATATATATATATATATATATATATATATATATAAAACTGTCAAACTGACCAGAGAATTCAGAGCAGCATGTATCTATCCAGCTTTTATCTCAAATAATAGCTTAAAAGAGACTCTTTGACCAACGCAAGGATTGTTAAAAGATTCATGTTAAAAGATAAAAAATAAAAAAACAAATGAAAACTACAGACAAAAAGTTCATTTTCTCCAGCAAAAAGATTCATTTCTGTAGTTTACTTCTATCAACAAGCAGAAATATTTCTCCTCCCGATGATGGCCATTTTGGTCCCAACTAGTCGAGGAATCTAAATGAAATAATAATAAAAAAACGAAAGAATATTAATCTACAAACCCAGTGTGTCTAAAGATTTTAATTTTTAATATTTTTATTGTTCAATATATATATATATATATATATATATATATATATATATATATATATATATATATATATATATATATACTCTTAAGTGCTATATTTATGAGGTAAAGTTCTCAATATCAAAGAGCGTCTGTAAATATAGAAATGAACATAGAAGTCAACACTTATAGGCGACAGTCTGTTTCATGCTCGATGCAATCGTTAGGCCAGACGATTTCATCTAGCATGAAACAGACTGTCGCCCTATGTTGATTTTATTTTCATTTTATATATATATATATATATATATATATATATATATATATATATATATATATATATATATATATATATATGGATGGATGGATTCTTATTTAAAAGTTATATTTAGTGGAAATATACGCATATATACTATACATATATAAATATAAAAATTTTGTTTATTTGTTCAGTATATACGCCCACCCAATTTTTGTACAGTCCTCACATCTGGTGTGCAGTATTAATATTAACAGTACTAAAAAGGATTTATAGATGTTGCCAAGAAAATAATCGGCACATCTAATTTTCTTTGTCGCAGCAGAGCAGAAAACTTAATGAAATATAGCACGCATCTCGGGCACCACTTTTTTGACGTCTTGCCCTCATACCTCTGTTTTAGCACTTGAGGTAAAGCTTTTATCCTTCGGCCCTGCATAAAAGGAATTCTGCCGCATACTGACACTTTTAAACATATTTTAAACGTTATTACTTTACTTCATTTTATAGTAGTGTGTGTTTGTACAGCTGGAGTTGCTTTCCAATTCCATTTTGCATTGCGCAGTGACAAATATTTAA